TAGGAAATTGTTCAACTATCAAGTGCAAGGGCCACAGACTATACAGGCTGGAGGTAGGAAGTCAGAAGGTGTCCAAGTTCATGGTGAGGGCGGCAGGAACTTGGCTGGGAGTTGGCCGGGTGAAAAGGAAGTTGTTTGGGATGGGTGACCCGAGTTTGTCCAGCCTTCCGGCACAGGCTGCGTAGACTCCAGAGAGAAATAGCGGGAGGTTGTCCAGGTCCGTGGTGGACGTGGTGGGAGAGACTTGAGGTTGTGCAGGCTTTGAGTGGGAAGTTGTCCAGGTTCCCCACGAGAGGACGGCTCAGCACTGGCTGAAGGGACCCAAGGTGGTCTTGCCAGAGTAAATGGCAGAAGGTTACTTCGGTCTTTCGTGGTGGGATATGAGGTGGTGCAGGCCTTTTACCATCATGTCCACCCCTGGCCAGAGCTGCCGATTCCTGACAACGCCAATGTCTTCTATGCAATGAGTCCAGCCGCCCCTAGAGACTTTGTGCTGCGGCGGAAGGACGGGGCCCGGCACACAGCTACCATCTCCTCGACCTGAGGGGGCCCTCTTCTCCCTCTAGGGGCCTGGTCCCTGCCACCATGGATGTGGGGAGAGGCCTCCTCTCCCAGAAAAGTCCTATTCCCCAATAAAGCTATTGTGCTCTGTACCGTGTGACCCCCACCCCCCATGCCCAACTCCATCAAATGCCATCTCTCTGACACTCCTGGTACTTGATTCTTATTCCAAAGCCATCAGCCCGTGAGCGGCCGGATGAAGAGTTTCATCCCATAAACATAGAAGGCAGGTGGGGCACGGATGGGGGGGGGGGGGGGGGGGGTCAGACCTTTCCCCCGAGAAACCTGACACCCGGGGGGGGGACGGAAGTGGATGAAAACGGTGCCCAAGGTTATGAAACAGGAGATGGGTCTTGTCTGTTCTGTGCCTCGTGTTCTCTCTTGATCAAGATCAAAATTAAAAAACAGAAACTGAAAAAAACCCCAACGGCCTCATTAAAGGGTCTGGGCGAGACATGATCGGATGCCGGAGGGGGAGGGGCTGTCACACACGCAGGGGGCGGGACTCCCCAACATCTGGGGGGGCGATACGCTGCTTTTCCGCCATGGGTGTGGGAGACTGAAGAAGTCAAGTTCCACTGGCATCCGAGACAAACAACATCATCACCCTTAAGTCAATGGGGCGTGAGGATGAGAGGGGTACCCTGTCTCTCTGTGCTGGGGTAGGAAGAAGAAACAGCAGGTAGAGATAAAGGGACCCATAAGGCCACCTGCAACACAGTCCTAACAACAGGAACAACTACATTCATTTTTTTGTAAGTTTATTTATTTATTTAGAGAGTGTGTGGTGGGGACGGGCAGAGAGAGAGAGAGAGAGAGAGAGGGAGAGAGAGAATCCCAAGCAGGCTCTGTGCTGAGTGCGATGCGGGGCTCGGAACCTGACTCGGGGCTTGAACTCATGAACTGCAGGATCATGTCCCGGAGCCGAAGTTGGACGCTTAACCGACTGAGCCACCCAGGTGCCCGCCACAACCGCATTCTTAGCAATAGTGTGTTCACGTAGGAACTTCTAGTCCATGCTGTACATCAACTAGGGGCTTTATATATCTCACTGTTAATCAGGGTTCTTTGTGCTTCGAGTGTTCAGAAACCCAATTCAAACAGACATGCAAAACGGGAAACGAATGGCTCGTGTATTCGAAAAGTTCAGTTGAGTCCAGCGTCAGTCACCGTTGGATCCAGGGATTCCAAACATATCAGGATTTTGTTGTGGTCTTTGGGCTCTGATTTGCTGAGGGGACTGTACCCCCCCCCCCCCCCCCCGCCAAATCTAGCCACCATCTGTGGGAATAGAGCAACCACTGATTTTTAGCTGGCCACCCAGAGTAGAAAACACATTTCCAGTCTCCCTTGCAGCAAAGTGCGGTCATGTGACTAAGTCTTGACCAATGGGATGTGAGCAAATTTTAGTCCGGGTTTAAGGCCTGTGTCCTCCCCTTCCCGCTTTTCTACCCCCCCCCCCCCCCCCGCCCCGCGCTGGTTAGAATGAAGCAGTGGAGTGGATCATCTTGGATTGAGGGGGGTTCATGTTCTTTGAATAACTGAGCAACAAACTTGAAGGTGCCTGGCCCTCTTAGACCAGGGTGCAGCCATATTGTATTGCCGCTACTTGGATTGTTCCATAGAGAGAAATAGATGTATATCTTACTTAAGCCACTATTATTTGGGTCTGTTACAGTAGCCAAAATAGCATCTAATTAATAAAGCCCCACTGCAAGGCAGGCTCACACCTTCCCATGCAAGGAGAGCCCCTCCCTTCCATCAGGTCAAGCAAAAGTCCCAGAACAGATGCCCATTGGACCAACTCATGTCACGTGGCCACCCCTGCACCAATCACTGTGCTCAGAGAAATGTTAATAGGCAGATTGTCCAGGTCTGGGTCCTGTGCCCATGCTTTGAGCCAGAAGAGCAACTTCAGATCACAAAGACTAGAGCCTGGAAGGGCGCATACATGGAAATTACATTTGAGTACTGTTACTAGGGGAAGGGTGGCTCAGTAGATTAAGCATCAGACTCTTGATTTTGGCTCAGATCATGAATGTATGGTTCGTGAGTTCGAGCCCTGGGTCGGGCTGTCTGCTGTCAGGGGCGAGCCCACTTTGGATCCTCTGCTTTGTCTCCTTCACTCTCTGCCCCGCCTTCCCTCTCTCTCTCTCAAAAATAAAATAAAATAAATAAACAACAACAACAACAACAAAAAGGAGAACCTAAGCATCACGTACCATCTGGGAAAAGACCAATTACAGAACAGAACATGCTATTTTGCAGGCTTTTGTTGTTGTGGCTATGAATATTAAGACCATAGGACCAGTCAGATGTAAGTAACAGTATCCTTGAAATAGCTTAAGCAAATAATAATTGCTACGTAATGTAATATGTCAGTTATATTTCAATAAAATAACTTATTTTTACTGAGGGCTTACTATGTACTGTCCTAAGAACTTTACCTAATTGATCTCACTAAATCCTGATACTAGCTTTATGGAATAGCATACATTCCATATGTCTATTTTATACATGAAGAACTGAGCCTAGTGAGGATTAAGTAATTTATCCAAGGTGGCAAGGTTGGGGCTCAAACCTGAATGATGTGTGATGTGCCAGAACACATGCCCTCCCTTAAATACCGGGTTACTGGGGCGCCTGTGTGGCTCGGTCGGTTAAGCGTCCGACTTCGGCTCAGGTCATGATCTCACGGTCCGTGAGTTCAAGCCCCGCGTCGGGCTCTGTGCTGGCAGCTCAGGAGCCTGTTTCAGATTCTGTGTCTCCCTCTCTCTCTGCCCCTCCCCTGTTCATGCTCTGTCTCTCTCTGTCTCAAAAATAAATAAACATTAAAAAAAATTTTTTTTAATAATAAAAAAAAAACACTGGGTTACTTTTCCTCTCATAACCACAGCTGATACTTTCTGCCCCTCACGCTCTTTCACGCATGGTGCAAAGGCCAATTTCCTGAGGGAGGGATTACTGCTGCATCACTATGACTTTTTTTTTTTTTTTTTAAGTTCAGGGGCGCTCAGGCACAGCTGTATCCAGGGGCTGACACAGTATCACCCATTTCTTTACATCTCCTGGCTTAGTGTTTCTCTAATCTTTTACTCCACATTTATTTATTTTGAGAGAGAGAACAGGGGAGGGGCAGAGCCAGAGAGACAGAATCCCAAGCAGGCTCTGCACTGTCAGCGAGGAACCTGACATGGGGCTCAAACCCACAACCCTGGAGATCATGATCTGAGCCGAAATCGAGTGGGAAGCTTACCCACTGAACCACCTACGTACCCCTCCACAACTATTTCTCCTAATGTGTGCCAGGCCCTGTTCTAGGTGCTAGGGATACACAAATGAACAAAACGAACTAGTGAGGGCGGCAAATCAGTAACAGAACATCAAATGCTTATTAGGTGATAATAAACAGGGAATGTAAAATCATCACCATCATCCATTTAAGGGCGACAGGGGTGTGGGATGAGAAGGTCGCTATTTTTTTTTAAGTTTATTTATTTTGAGAGAAAATTGGGGGGGGGGGGTTGTAGAGAGAGGGAGATACAGAATCTGAAGCAGGCTCCAGGCTCTGAGCTGTCAGCACAGAGCTGGACAATGGGGCTCGAACTCGTCAACCACAAGATCATGACCCGAGCCGAAGTCGGAAGCTCGACCGACTGAGCCACCCAGGCACCCCCAGATGGTTGCTATTTTAAATGGGGTCATCCCAGGGGGCAAATGTCACTGAGGAGGTGACATTTGGGCAGAGGCCTGAATAAAGGACTGAGCCCCGTGGATATTTAGAGGAAGAGTTTCAGATAGAGGTAACAGGGTGTAAAAGCCTGTGTTAGCTTCACCATCAGGTAATTTCTCCCCTCCTTAGTAGAGAAGATATCTCTGGATACGCCCTCATGGCCCAATAGAAACAGTCACCCTTTTCCCAGTAACTTTGAGTAAAGTCCCAGGGCGGAGGCTCATTGGATCCCTTTGGGTCACATGCCTACGCTGGACCAATCACGGTGCTCCAGAAAATGGAGTGTTCTGATTGGCTACTCTGGGGCAGGGCAGGCGCAAGTATCCACCCCTTCCCCCCAAGCACTTACCTCTGTTCCGGTGTTAACCCCAGTTTAAGAAGCTGAGCTCCGGGCGCCTGGGTGGCGCAGTCGGTTAAGCGTCCGACTTCAACCAGGTCACGATCTCGCGGTCCGTGAGTTCGAGCCCCGCATCAGGCTCTGGGCTGATGGCTCAGAGCCTGGAGCCTGTTTCCTATTCTGTGTTTCCCTCTCTCTCTGCTCCTCCCCCGTTCATGCTCTGTCTCTCTCTGTCCCAAAAATAAATAAA